AAAAAAAAAAATTTAAAAAAAAAAACAAATGGGAGAGATTTAAGCACATTGACATGCCGGTTGAAAGGAAACGCTTAACGAAAGCATAACCTACAGAGAAGTTTCGCAAAGGCTGAGGGCAGAGTGGTGGCCACCTCTTCCTAAGCGCTTGGCCGGGAACGGGGCGGGGGAAGTACCTGTGAGCCAGGAGTTTGGGAGGCAGGAAGTCGGAGGCTCCATTTTCCCTGTGAAGTAAGAGGAGAAAGAGACAGTGCAGGGAGGGTGAGGATAGAGGTTTGAGGAGTGGAGACGCTGTGAAATAGGCACCCAGGGTTGAGGTTCCACTTGCTGGGGTGTCAAAGGACAGAGAAGGACTGGGGGCGGGGGGCTGGGGGGTGTTGAAAGAGGGTCGAAGTAAAGGATCGTGGGAAAGAGGTTCAGAATGGACAAAGGAAGAAGGCCAGGGGAGATGCCCAGTTTGCTCTTTTAACCTGACCTGGTGAATTAAACCTTAATGTCAATGTTGCTTTTTCTACCAGTTGTTCAGAATGACCAACTTGTGATCAGTTCCACTGTACCAATGTGTTCTCTGCTGCATCATCCAAGCCATTCAAAAACATTTTAGGGGCGCCTGGGTGGCCCAGTCAGTTAAGCGTCCGACTTCAGCTCAGGTCATGATCTCGTGGTTTGTGTGTTCCGTCCCGCATCGGGCTCACTGCTGTCGGCGCAGAGCCCGCTTGGGATTCTGTCCCTCTCCCTCTGTCTTTCTGCCCCTTCCCCACTTGTACATGCTCACTCTCTCAAAATAAGTAAGCTTTAAAAAATGTAAATGGTAGTAGGTTATAACTTAGATAAAATCTTCTCAAGAAATATAACTGTATGGCTTTTCTTCACATCAAACTACAGACGAGTCATCTTTGAGAAGACGCTTAGAACAATGCACTTGTCCCTCTAACCGCTGTATGGTCTAAGCCAGAAATTCCCAAAATGCATCTGTGAAATATTGGGTTTATGGGATGTTAGTGTTATTTGAATATAGGAGCAAGTGGTTACGTAAGTATGGAAACACAGAGTTTAAAAGTAGCTTTCTTGTAGGACTTCTCAGAGCATTAGTGTGTTAATCTACACTGTGACTCTCCAAGAGGCAGCCAGTTTGATGTAGAACTGTTCATATGTAATTGAAAAGAACAAAACTTTAAAAGGAGAGTTTTGTGGAATTAGAGTTCCCCAGTGACACAATGGGATGCACTGAGCCATAATTTCCGAATTTATCGCACGTCACCTAGTTAAGAGTCTTTGAAACCTAAGACAAATTTATTAGCAAGCTAATAATATATTAAGGAGGGTTAAAAAAAAAAAAAGTCCCATTTTCTTTGTCCTAAGTCAATAGATGTGCCTATTTGAAGATTTCTTAAATAAAATGAAAATCTTAAAATCTTGTTTTAAAGTATTTTCTCATAGATCTCATTGTTTTTATAAGTAGAATCTTGAATGGGAGACCATTATGAATGTACGTTTTCCTTTTGTATTATTTCCAAAGCTTAGTCTGATTCCCCAGATCAATTCACTGGAGAATTTCTGCAGCAAGCAGGATTTGGATGAATATCACCTGCACAACTGTGTTGAAATTGCCTTGAAAACAGGACCTCAGATGCTCCCGGGTGCGTGTGAAAGGCTCATAGTGAGCATGTCTGCCAGGCTAAACAATGGGGCAGTAGGTAAGTAGTGGCTTAATGGGCTCTCCCGATGTGCTGCTTTTTGGGACGTGCATGAATGGATTCAATTCATTTTAGCGTCTAGTCCAAACGATCAGTGTCAATACCAGTTGCCCAATGATTAGATACGCAGAGCAGTCTCTTGATGGGTCGGAATCACAATGCACAGTACAGTAAATGTACAAAAAAAGGAGCCTGGCAGCGGCCGTGGGCGGTTCGGTCGGTCAAGCGTCTGACTCTTCATTTCAGCTCAGGTCACGGTCTCTCGGTTTGTGAGATCAAACCCCACGTCGGGCTCTGCACTGACAGCGCAGAGCCTGCTTAGGATCCTTTCTCTCTCCCTCTCTCTCTGCCCCTCCCCCACTCGCATTCTCTACCCCCCCCCAAAATAAATAAAGACAAACATTTTAAAAAAATTTTAAAAATTAAAATTAAAAAAGAGCCTTGCAGTAGTGTTGGGATGCTAGATTCCTGGAAGAATGCTCCAAAAATACTTATTCAGAATCCTGGAATTTTAGGGTTGGAAGGAACTCTAAACAACTTCTTTCATCCTGCATCCTTTATTAAACCTTCATTTAATAAACAAGGCTATTGGGGTCCCAAAACACTAGGTAACTTGTCCATTTCACTAAGCTCTAGAGCAGTATTTCTCACCCTTTGCACTTTTGAAATTTGGGGCCGGATAATGCTTTGTTGTGGAGGGGGGGGTCGGCACGGAAGGCTGTTCTGTGCATTATGGGATGTTTAGCAGCCTACCTACCTGCTACTCACCTGATACCGGGAGAACCTTCCCCCCAGGTGCAACGTTCAAAAAAGTCTCCAAACTTTGTCATATGTTCCCTGAGGGAGCGAAATCTCCCCCCAGTTGAGAAACACTCGTATAGAGTGAGTTGCAATGAAAGCCTGGGGTTCCTGAATTCTGAGCAAAGGCTTTTCCCATTACCCGGCAGGACTCTGCGTTCAGGATGCCTGCCATCTCGTGAAACATATAGAATAAGGGAAATCAAACAAATAGTCCAGCACCAACATGGATCATCAGGAATTGAAGTAATCGGAAATAATAATAATTATATTGGGACTATTATGAAAACAACTTATTTTAAGCCTTTCATTAATTTAGTGAGTAACATTTATTGGTAAGATCTGTTTATTACATAATGTTTACTGAGCACTTCCTACACGCCACACAGTTCTAAAGACTTCACAGGCATTATTGTCTTTAGTCCTTATAATCCCCTGGGGTAGATCCTGTATTCTCCCCATTTAACAGATGAGGGAGTTAAGGATTAGAGAAGTATCTAATGAAAGAGAGGTGAACTTAAGCTCCCACAAGGACCAGGTGCACCCCTGTCACTTCCCGTACCTCTAATTGTCCCCTTTGTCTCCCCGCAGCCTGCAAGTGTCACCCCCAGGGCTCGGTGGGGCCCAACTGCAGCCGGCTTGGGGGCCAGTGCCAGTGTAAGCCCCACGTGGCCGGGCGCTGCTGTGACAGGTGCTCCACAGGAAGCTACGGTTTAGGACATCATGGCTGCCACCGTACGTAGCAAAAACACCGTGGGGGGAAAGACATGCATGGGCACAACCTTGGAGTTTTGAAGGCAGGAAAATCAGAGGGGGAATTGAAAAGAGGGGGTAAGGATTGGGAATTTGGCCACACGACTTAGGCTGTCTGTCCGTGTAGATCAAGAATACAGAAAATTTTTCCATCGTATTTCATTCCTCCATTTGGTGGGTGCCAATGTGTACAGAGCTCCGTTAGGAATCGTGAGTGATGATGAAAACATGGCCTGTGATTCTCCCCGTCCAGGGAGGATGTGGGAGCACCAGGAAATGAGTTGGCTGTGCCGACCCAGCTTTAGGATCTGGCACAGACGCCCCGTGGCTGGCCAGGCTAAAACAACGATGACATTGGGAAGTCAAGAAAGGGGACAAGACTGCCACCTAGATATTACCTTCTGTGGTGCTGGGGTCACAAACAGCCATGGAACTCATTCTATAATCTCCCCATCAATCAGGGTTTAGACGGGCCTTTGTCCACACATGGTGACACATTCTCATGGCTGTCATGTTCAGGGTATACAGTTCTCTGTTCATGCCGTAAGCCAATAGCGAAAATACTGTTCCCCACAGAAACCTATCATAGGAACCATGTTCCTAAGGTAAAGGAGCATATATTTTCAGTCATGGTTCAGAAAGGCAGCGCCCTGGCAACTGGCTTTTCAGCACACAGTGCTTAGGTCCATTATTACTACCCCCTCCCCCGCTCCCTTTCTTAAAAAAAAAAAGTGCTTGAGATGAACAAAGGGATATACACAAAGGAGCAAACGTGTCTTCCATATCCCATTTTTGTATAGGGAAGATTGGCTCAAAGGATCCACTTTGTCAGAAAGGGATTGAGCCTTTCTGATTGAGCCCAGGAAAAAGAAAAAAATCCAACCATCTTGAGAAAGGTGTCATTTTTTATAATCTTGAAGTTTTGACTCACGTGATAAATGGAAGTTTACGTCATTAAAAACACATTACTTGTTGGGCGCCTGGGCGGCTCGGTCAGTTAAGCATCCAACTCTTGATTTCAGCTCCAGTCATGATCTCACGGTTCATGAGTTGGAGCCCCACCTTGGGCTCTGCACTGACAGCACAGAGCCTGCTTGGGATCCTCTGTCTCCTTCTCTCTTTCAAAAGTAAATAAACAAACGTTGAAAAAAAAAAAAACATGTTCCTTGTTCAGGTCCTCTGTATAAATAGTGCTGATGAGACCCAACGGCTCACAGCATCCTGTTCATTGGGTGAATCAGTGAATTATTTAATAAACGTTGACCCGGTATTCAGTATATGCCAGGTTCTCAGACTCTTTATTTACCTGATTGGAATGCTACAGTAAGTTCAGGACTACAAAATCAGGACCATAACTCAGTTCGCCAGCACACCACGTGCCCCCACCCAACATGTTCTCTTTCTTTATCTAGCATGTCACTGCCACCCTCAAGGCTCAAAGAGCGCTGTATGTGACCAAATAACGGGACAGTGCGCCTGCCGGGGGGAGGTGGCTGGCCTCCGTTGTGATCGGTGCCTGGCAGGCTACTTTGGATTTCCCAACTGCCGCCCTTGCCTTTGTAATGGTTTCGCTGAACTTTGTGATCCAGAGACAGGGTCATGCTTCAATTGCGGGGGTTTTACAACAGGAAGAAACTGTGAAAGGTATGGAATTCAGATGCACTTTGATTTTTAGTTTTGTTTCTTTTGTTCCAGTCTCACAACACTCTCTGAAGGACCGCTGAGTAGATTATCAATAGTATTTAAGCGTAGAACGATCTCTGGGTGGGGGATGGCCGAAACAGAGTATCAGTCCTGGTGTCCTTCAGAATCTTGTTATGAGATAGACGCTGTCTGATTAAATAAAAGCTAGGCATTTATTTGCCTGACACCTTGCTTTTTATGTCCCTGAAATATGACATGTAAATTAACTGCTACTATATTGAGTTTAATGACAATACCTTGGGACTTTTATATTGAGTTTAATGACTATATCTTGGGACTTTCAGTATAAATTTAAAAAATCACTTCGGGGCGCCTGGGTGGCTCAGTTGGTTGAGCATCCGACTTCAGCTCAGGTCATGATCTCGCAGTTCGTGAGTTCGAGCCCCGCATCGGGCTCTGTGCTGACAGCTCAGAGCCTGGAGCCTGCTTCAGATTCTGTATCTCCCCCTCTCTCTCTGCTCCACCCCTGCTTGTGCTCTGTCTCTCTCTGTCTTTCAAAAATGAATAAACATAAAAAAATTTTTAAAAAAAATTTTTTTTTTAACGTTTATTTATTTTTGAGACAGAGAGAGACAGAGCATGAATGGGGGAGGGTCACAGAGAGAGGGAGACACAGAATCTGAAACAGGCTCCAGGCTCTAAGCTGTCAGCACAGAGCCCGATGCGGGGCTCGAACTCACGGACTGCGAGATCATGACCTGAGCCGAAGTTGGATGCTTAACCGACCGAGCCACCCAGGCACCCCCAAAAAAGTTTTTAATAAATAAAAATCAAAAACTCACTTCACAGAGCAAGCAAGCATCTTCTAAAATGTTGACTTTTGAGAGTTGCACTGTCCTCAAGCATGGCAAATCCACATCGGCTAATGTGAGTTTTTCCTGTGAACACTTGGTAAAAAGAAATTGTCTCGACAGGTGCATCAATGGTTACTATGGGGATCCTCCTTCAGGACACTCCTGCCGTCCCTGCCCGTGTCCGGATGTTCCCTCAAGTAATCAGTATTTTGCTCATTCCTGTTATCAGGATCCTTGGAGCTCAGATGTGATCTGCAATTGTCTTCAAGGTTATGCAGGTACACAATATAGTTCATGATGGTGTTTTTCTCCCATCCCATACTGCTATCTCAAAACACGATTCCATGCTCATAATTTATCTGCCTCGAACAATTGAGGGGTACCGAATATGAGTTAATAGCAAGAAGACACAATTTGGGGAGTGCCTAGGTAGCTTAGTCGGTTGAACATCTGACCCTTGATTTCAGCTCAGGTCACGATCTCATGGTCCTGGGATTGAGCCTGGCATCCAGCTCCCTGCTGAGTGTGGGCTTCAGCTTGAGATTCTCTCTCTCTCTCTCTCTCTCTCTCTCTCTCTCTCTCTCTCTCTCTC